TATATTCTCCTGCAATCAGAAAATAATATCCCTTTCCATAGTGATCTGAAAAGTTGGATAAATTCAGAGGAGCATTAATTCACTTCTCATTGCCCTAAATAATACTGTGTGTGTGTGTTTAAAAAAAGAGATTTTTCCATACTGGCAAATTTTATATGCAGGAGACATGGATGTTGTTCCTCCATTTATATAGAACAAATTTGAGAAGAACATACAGTGACACTGCAAATACTGTCCCTCCTCATTCTGGCCTATGTCACCATTTTGCTGGGGTTGGCATAATAAGGAATTCTAAGAAGACCCCAATCCAATAGACAAGGAAGAATCTCTGGAGGGGGCAAAAGATGAAAGTGGGAGTGGAGGAGGAAATTCCTACTGTTCTTTTATGATTCTGCTTCTTATTTCCCATTTTGTTGCCACAGCCGCACCAACTTAGAAAAACAGTGTGGTGATATGCCATGTCATTCCTCTTGAAATTCCTCAGAAAAGTTAAACGTCTTGCTCATCGTCACATGGCTGGTGAGTGGAGAAGAGGGTTATACTGGAATTCATATCACTTTTAAATCTTCTACAGTAGTGTTTTTCAACTTATCAGCTGCAAACCGCTGGAGGGTTGTAGCAAAATTTTAAAAGAATCCTCAGATCCTATGTACATATATATTTTCTTGATCCACGAATCAAAAGATACTATGATTATCACTATTATCATGCAGGAGGTCTATAAAATTGGTTGACACTTAAAAAGAGTACTCTTTTTGCTAAAAAATTTAAATAAATGAAAAGAAACCATGGTTCTCTACTTGTGGTTTTCATATTTTTGGGTTTCACAGATCAATATCAATATCATTCGTTATATGTTTTTAGAACTTAAAATTATAGTCTTTCAAACTAAATAAATTTAGTTTTATGGAAAACTCACTTCATGGTTCTTCCCTTCAAAATCAGTGAAAATGTTATCATGGGCCAACACTGGTGTGAAAAATGGCATTTGGAAACCTCTCACTATGCTATGCAGAAGAAGGGAAGAGTTTAATGGACTCTGTAAGTTCTTAGGATGGGTTTCAGGAAAGGAAACCTACATATGAGGATCCTTTGTCCTTCTCTGGGCTGATTCTTACCTGGCATCACTTGTTGGTGATTATAGCTGGCTAGCCAACCACTAGATTCAGCTTTGAGAACTGCCACTTCCAAGCTTAGCAATGGAAATGGTAGCTGACAAGTAATCTATGTTCTTCCTAATTTAGAAATGATTCATCATTGTGGGTTGTGAAAGAGAGAGAAGAAATGGGCTTTCATACATTTTGCCTGCTCTTCTTAATCCATTCTGCATGGGCTAGCCAAGGAGCATAATTACCTAGGCTAGTTAACAAAACCAATCTGAGCCAAGAAAAGAATGTGGCAAATATTGACAGACTGTTTGACTCATTCATTCAACAAACTTTTGCAGAGCACCTACTATGTACCAGACATCGTGCAAAGGATACAGCAATTAAAAACAAAGAACATCGGCATAAACAATGTCTGCCATGAAAACACACGGGAAATATACCCAATGTAGAATAGGGATGAAGGGGGATTCATAGATGGCTTCCCAAAAGAGATAACATCTGAGCTAACTCTTGAAAAGTTAATAAGGGTGAGGCAGAAGACTTTGTTAGCAGAGAGAACAGCATGTGCAAACATGAAGCTTCTTGACCATGTTGCCCTTTCGTCATCTCAAAGATGGTTGGTCTTTGTACACATCCACCATCTTGAGATGAAACCAGTCTCTGACCTGTCAGGAGGGGTCTTTACCTGTCAGGAAAAATGGTTGCCCTGCTGTTGCCTTGTAAGGCCTTTTCTTCTCAACTAAATGAGTAACATAAACAAGGACAAGAGGGATGAGCCTGCTGCAAAATACTCAGACACATGTGGCCAGGCAAAGGGCCAATGCTAATCACAGTCTCCAGCACCTGCATACCCTCAGCTGGGGGGCTCAGTTCTCAAAGAGAAATTCACATAAGGCCTGTCAGCACCTTGCTGTCTGTCTTGGGACAGGGCTGTCTAGGAACTTGCCTGAATGTTTCCCACATGCTACAAGGCCTGCTTCTCAACATTTACATAGTTTCCTGATATTGTAGTTCAAAATTGTAGCACAAAAGAGTTCTTCAGAAGCTGGGCTAGGAGATAGGCTGAAATTCAAACACCTCCCGAAGTTAAAAGGAGGCACCTGTGTGACACTCAGAGGCATACGAAGAGGAGATTCTCCTGTTAAACAAAGGCTACCTGCACGGCTGACTTCATAAACAAGCAACCTGTGCAGTCACACAGGGCCTCATGTTCAGAAGGCCCTCATGCTTGGTTCAATGCTCTGCTGTCATCTTCTTGAAATTATCAACAATTTTTTAAAAAGGAAGCATTCACATATTTTCATTGTGCACTGGGATACAAGTGATGTAGTGAGTCCTGACTAGTTTTCCCAGCAAAAGGGAAATGGAAAGCCCAATCAAGAACCTGGAGTTCTACAGGAGCACTTGAAATGGGAGAGTAGTGGGTTATAAAACAGAGAAAAGTAGGGCCAGCCCTGGTGGCCTAGTGGTTAAGTTCAGTACGGTCTGCTTCGGCAGCCCAGGTTTGGTTCCCGGGTGTGGACCTACACCACTCTGTTAGCAGCCATGCTGTGCTGCTGGCCCACACACTAAAAAAACAGACGAAGACTGGCACAGATGTTAGCTCAGGGTGAATCTTACTCAGAAATAAAAAAAACAAAGGAAAACAGAGAAAAGTAAAAGAGTACAACTTTACAGCTTGTAAGGAAATCTAGCATTGTTTGCTATGCCAGGAGCCCATAATTTAAATTTTCTAAGCTATTATGAAGTTTGTCTGAAATATGCATATTATTTTACTGTTTTATGGCCCTTAGGCAGCCCTGTTCTGTTTCTTTAGTCAGGAAGAGCAGCTCCAAACACACACAATTTAAGAACCACATAAAAATGTACTACACAGTGGTCAAAGCCACAGTACTGAGCCACATGGTACTGATTTTTACCCCATGTCCCAAATGGTGAGAGATCACTCTTATCTCATGTTTTTCTTTCCCTTTACAACCTCAACCCACCATTCAGTTCCTGCTCAACCACAATTTGAATTCTCCTAGTGGTGATGCTACTATCAGTCTTTTTGGTAAATATTTTTTTGCATCACCAGCACCTTGATTTTCATCAGGACCGGCTACATAATTTGTGAAGCCCAGTGCAAAATGAAAAGGTGGGCTCCTTGTTCAAAATTAAGTAAGAACTTCAAAGTAGCAACAGTAAGAGCATTAAACCATGCATAGGGCCCTTCTAAATGTGGGACCTATATCACTGCACATACTGAATGCCCATGAAGCCAGCCCTGATTCTCATTGGCCAGAATCTGGTCATGTACCCATCCCTTAACCAATCACTGTTAAAGGGGTTGACTAGTTTACCCTTACACTAAGAACAGCTCCAGGGGAGCTGGGCATAAATTCATTTTCCCCTGAGTTGCATGGTGTCTCATGGCAAGGATTCATGAGTGAAACCAGCCTTCTTTTGAGTAGAACTAAGGAAGGCATGGTTGCTGAGCAGCCAACAGTTCCCATGACACCATATATCCATGAGTCAGAAGGAGGAACTCTTCTCCAGAAGCTTGCTTTGATGCAAGCTTGGTTCCCTAGGGCCTTGAAGAGTTATTCAAATCCTTCCTACTCAAATCTGCCTATGCTCAATTCCCAGGCTCCCATGCACTTTACACCTCTTCCCTGCTGCCAATCCTTCCTGTAGGTACATGAAGGTACATGAAGATATGATTCCTGTCCTCCTGATGATTATCATCTTATTAAGGAACCATGACTAACCACAAAATACACAAAAACTCAAGTAATAGAGAAATCTAAAATAAAAGAACACTAATTAAAATGCACGTTAGTGCTGAGAGTTTCTAGAAGTATTGGATTAACAAGAGCTGGGTAGATGTTTCAATACGAGTTTAGGAGGAAATGGATTTTTAAATGGGGGAAACGGTCAGTGTTGGGTGATGTGAAATGAATTTTGGAGCAGAAGACAGTGATGCACAATCCATAGTGGCAGAATTCTCATACAACAAGCTTTGATAGCAGAGTGAATCATTTTCAAGAGTCAAACACGTTTGTTGTCTAGAGCAGACTGCCACTGTTAGTGGTGAATGGAAAAATGACAGGCAGCAGAAAGTCGTTACTAGGAAATTAGATCCAATGCAAAATGCAACAGTACAGTTTCTGAAGATATACACAAACTATGATTTTTCACACCTATGTGAAAAGTGAGTCCTGTGCTCTATTATTCCCCTTCATGCTAACTTTCATGTTAATTTGTGCTTGATTTCAGTGTGTGTGTGTGTGTGTGTGAATGTGTGTGCATGCATGTTATCATCTAGCCACTAGATCACCAAGGAACTGTATGTGTGTGAATGTTATCATGTAAAAAGAATAACTCTTGACAAAGTAACAGCAAGTGAAGGGAAGTGGATAGTAAAAAGTCACTGACTGTCCCTGCTTTGTTTAGTTGGTTTTTAATTGTGTGGCTTTCTCATTAACTTTTTCCTCTCTTGACAAACTTAAAACCAGTAAATGATTGCTGAATTCCAACATCATTAGGAGATAACTTAACCTTAGTTAAGACTAGACAATATAATTACAATTTCTTTATTAATTTCATCGTTCTAGGTAGATGCTTAGTGGTAATAATGGAAAAAAATCCAAATACTTGGAAAATATGAGAAAAACAAGATTTTAAATCTAGAGTCTCTGAGCTATGTTATTAATGTAAGATAAGATTGCCACATTAAGAGCAAGGCAATAATATAGGTATGAATACATAATATGTGCAAATTATAGTAACTAAATTTTTCTTATATTTGAGAAACTCAAATATGTTTTTCATGTGCTGTAATTCTCAATGTAAGTTTAATTAGTTGTACCTGATTAGAAATTTTAAAAAAAAACAACTTTAAAGACATACTTTGAATTTCAATGATCTTCTGTAAAGAAATAACGGCATTCATATTCGGGGTTTGCTGGAGAATATCTTCTGCAAGTGGCTCCAGCTGCAAGAATAGGAGATAATAACGTGAGCAGAATGACTTTATAGTAAGTCTGACAGAAGCAAAGCAAATTGAAACAACCACCCCCCCATAAAAGCTTGCTCTAAGAACTAGTTAACATTTTCCTGATATCACTTCTAAAAGTTTAACCAGTTTTATTTTCTCTTTTGCAGCCATGTAATTGAATTCCAAGGGGCTTTTCTATTGGTCACAAGACTAATCTATGAAGCCCCTGAAGCAGGTGCATGTCTGTGTATTATTCATTAAAAATCTGAGTTATTTGTGTAATTTTTGTAGGTTCCTCACAAAACAAATTCCATCATGTCTGTCTATGCAGCTGGGCCCTGCAAACAAAATCTCAGGGAAGTTGCAGTAGGCAGACAGTGAGCAGTGTATTATTCATACATTCGCAGAGTTTTTACATCTAACCACCTTACACTTTCAGACACTTCATGGTAGAAAGCCACGAGACACAGCTACTCTTATTTAATTGCTATTGAATACGTGGTAGAGAAAATGTTCAAATAAAACCAAAGGTAAAATAATTGTACATTTTCATTTAACTTCAACTGTATTCATAACTACGCAGATGTCCATGGGGAAGTACAGGACAAATTCCTGTCTTGCAAATCTATCAGGATCTTCTGGAATTACACTGATTTTTCACGGAGAATCTTAGAAACATTGCTTTGCAAGAAATGAAGAGGAGCTTTAAGTAATTTATGGAGGGTTTTGGCAGAACTAAATCTGATGATGCATCCCTGGGAATACATTGGTGATGTAGCTGAAGTAGCGGCAGAAACTACATAGCCAGGACACTTGCAAACAAAATAGCTGTCCAGCTATGGTGACCCAGAAAGCAAGGAAAGTAAGAGTAACAAAGGGATTAACAAAAAAGGAGTTTTCTTAGAAAATTTATAGTTAGTAGTCTCAAATATAAACTGATGGTCCAACTATAGTAGGACACGAATTGGAACTGATGTCACTAGACGTTGTACTCATCTATGTCTCTTCATCCGTAGTAAAAGACTCAGGGATTTCAAGTTTCCATAGCATATGTGAGTGAATCTTCCCCCAGGGTCTCTCTGAATTGATTATTCTATACTTCAATCATGGAATCTAAAACAATAGCACCTTTCTTCCAGATGCCATAGGATAAGAGACTAGCTCAGGGATATTTATATATGGGTAAATTCACTAAATATAACTTTCCAGAATGTTTTTTTTAGCTGCCAAAGAAAAACCTTTAAAACATCAAAAGGTTTATTTGCAATACAGTTTGGCGAGAGGAAAAAGAAAAAAAACACCAGTGTCAGTGAAAGGTTCTGCAATCTTAAACTCTTAAATTTTGTTAAACTCGTTTTTTTACATCTGGTATGTCAGATAGTATCTTCAAGAATATGTTATCCTAGCAACACCCTCTTAACTCAGAGGAACTAATGAATCATAAACAGAAGGTTACTTGGAAAACTCTTACTCCAGAATTAGACAGGGTTGAGTTACCTTGCTCATAAATAATCTTTCCTTTCACTTCTGTCTCAGAGCTCAGAAAAATGTTTTAATAGAAATCAGGTAGATTTTACTAATAAATGTTTTGAAACATCACTCTATGTTAAAATACTTAAGAACAAAAGTAAAAGATGATATCAGCGTATTTAGTTCTTCAAAAAGCTTTCCTATGACTTTAGGTTAAAAATGCTGACAAACTAAAAGGTGCTGGCTACTGGAAAGAAAGCTACAGGCAGATCATTAATGTAAAAAACACTTCTAGAACTCTCTCGCGTTGAGGTCTGTGGACTATTTTTAAGACCTGGGTTACGTAGAAAGTAAACGTGATTCAGGGTGTTGAGAGTAAAAATACAAACAACCCTAAACCTTCCATTTGGACTCGTCAGTTAGATACGATAAAATTGTGTCTACTTTTAAAGGCAACCTAGAGAATTAAGGCAATTACATTGATAATTTAAGCCTCCCAAACCATTTCCCTGCATGTTTTAGGTGAATGTCATTTAGAGGATTTAACCTTCAGTTAATTGCCCCAATTTGTTTCATTTTGAGAGTATACACACACACAGAGCTGAATTCAGAAAGTTCTCAATGTAGGTTCTTTAGTTTTTTTCGGGCAGCTCTGCAGAGAAGGTAATGGGTAATACTCTCAGTTGGCAAGAAAGCAAGCGGCATTTAGAGTCTGTTTTCATAAAATTAAAACCTTTCATAGAGGGACCACAGAATTGAGTTGTCTTTTCTAGAGAGTTTATTATTTAATCATTCACAATTATAAGCACTAAAAACATCTGATTAAAATATCTATTTAATAAACATTTATGAGTATTGGTCATTATTAGTAATCTAATAACGAACTGTAATGAAATAATATTAAATAATCATTTTTAAAGTAAAAATATGCAGCAAAACTGTTATGTATTTAGTTTGGCTGATAAGGTGTAGCAAAAACATTGGCTATTGAGGCTAATCAATGTTAGTAAGAGTTATTAAAAGATAAATAAGGAAGTAATTTATGCAAGCTAGAGAACTTTTGCATGAAAACATTATAGCTTGATAAAGCAGAAGGAGATGTAGGGAATATCACATACCCATCATGCCATCTTTGTTGAGCAATTTCATCAAGTAATAATAATTATCATGCAGTTATAAGATACACTAGATAATTTTAACACAACCTCTTGACACATGAAGCTCTCATCTAGCTTTATTTAATCTAAAGCTTAATTGCAACCATTACGGTAATTCTTTATATAATTTTCAGACTCAGTGACAGGGAAATATATTTTTCTACATCTTTTACAGAAAGTTGCAACACTGTATTGATACAATTCAGATGTTTGTTAAATTGCACATACCATGTAATTTCTAAGTACTACAGCTATTTTAAAACACTATAAAACTGTGGCCATTATCAGGTTGTGAATAAGTAATTTGTAGATTCTCTAGAATCAGATCATTTAAATTATCAAAAATCATTTTAGTTGGCTAAGATGCGCTTGTGTAAACAGGAAAGGGTATCCTTAGAGAAGCTCTTGAGAAAGAGTTTTAAACTCACTCTGCACTTATGAGACTTAAATACCTACATTTGCTTACTTCATGTTTGACTTGTTGGTTTGATTTTCTAATTTCTTGAGTTGTATGCTTCTATCTTTAATTTTAAGCTTTCTTCTATTCACATGTGTACAGTTAAAGCTTTATATTTTTCTCTAAATCCAGCTTTATACACATTATACAAGTTTTGATATTTCATATTTTCATAATGATTCGACTCAAAATATTTTCAAATTTTCATTGTGATTTCTTTGACACATGAGAGGTTGTATTTTAAAATCTCCAAATAGGGGCCGGCCCGGTGGCACAGCGGTTAAGTGTGTACGTTCTGCTTCTCAGGGGCCTGGGGTTCGCCGGTTCGGATCCCGGGTGTGGACATGGCACCTCTTGGCACACCATGCTGTGGTAGGCGTCCCACATATAAAGTAGAGGAAGATGGGCACAGATGTTAGCTCAGGGCCAGGCTTCGTCAGCAAAAAGAGGAGGACTGGCAGTAGTTAGCTCAGGGCTAATCTTCCTTGGAAAATAAAATAAAATAAAATAATCTCCAAATATATGAGATTTTCCAATTATCATTTTATTTCAAATTATACAACTAATTTATTTTTTTTAGTTTTGTTTTTATATTTCATTATTTTATTTTACATCACTGGTATTTTACTTATTTTATTTTAATTTTATTGTATTAAGAACACAACATGAGATCAAATCACTTAAATTTTTAAGTGTAAAATACATTATTGTTGACTATTGGTACAGTGTTTTAGAGTAGATCTCTACAGCTTTTTCATCTTGCTTGACTGAAACTTTATGCCCATTGATAAATAACTCTCCATTCCCCCCTCCCCCTAGCCCCTGACAACTACCAATCACTATTCCACTCTTTGACTCTATGAATTTGATTATTTAGACACCTCATATAAGTGGAATCATGCAGTATTTGTCTTTCTGCAACTAGATTATTTCACTTAGCTTAATGTCTTCAAGGTTTATCCATGTTGTGGCATATTGCAGAATCTTTTCCTTTTTAGGGCAGAATAGTATTCCATTGTATGTATATACCACATTTATCCATTCATCTGTCAATGGACATTTAGCTTGTGTCCACATCTTGGCTATGGTGAATAGTGCTGCAATGATCATAGGAACGATAATATCTCTTCAAGATCCTGATTTTGATTCTTTTGGATAAACACCCAAAAGTGAGATTGCCAGATCATATGACAGCTCTATATTTAATTTTTTGAGGGCCCTCTATACTGTTTTTCATAGCAGCTGCACCATTTTGCATTCCTACCAACAGTGTGCAAGGGTTCCAATTTCTCCATATCCTTGCCATCACTTGCTGTCTTTGTTTATTTGATAATAGTCATACTGACATCCTGAATGTCATGTGATATGCGAGGTGATATCTCATTTGTGGTTTTGATTTGCATTTCCCTGATGATTAGTGATGTTAAACATTTTTTCATATACCTGTTGGCCATTTGCATGTTTTCTTTGAAGAAATGTCTATTCAAGTCCTTAGCCCATTTTTTAATCAAGTTATTAGTATTTTTTACTACTGAGATGTTGAGTTCCTTATATATTTTGGAGATGAACACCTTATCAGATATATGGTTTGCAAATATTTTTTCCCATTCCATAGATTGTTTTTTCACTGTGTTGATTGTTTCCTTTTCTGTACAGAAGCTCTTTAGCTTGATATAGTCCCACTTGTTTATCTCAGATTTGTTGCCAATGCTTTTGATGTCATATTCATGAAATCATTGCCAAGATCAATGTAATGAGCTTTCCCCCAGTTTTCTTTTGGGGGTTTTACAGTTTTGGGTCTTATGTTCAAGTCTTTAATCCATTTTGAGTTTATTTTTCTGTATGGTGTAAGATAAGGGTCCAGTTTCATTTTTTTACAAGTAGATATCCAGTTTTCCAACACCATTTGTTCA